CTTGGAAAATTTGAGGGCAAGTATCAGTTTCTCTTGAGGGATAGGTCCTTTTTGCTCTCTTTGTCTACTGTCTTGGAGCTGTTCTTTTCTGCAGTTTAGTCCACAATCTTAGATATCTCCTTTTGAAAGCAATGCTGTGCTGTTAGAAGCTAAAATAGTAGTTACCTGTACAGGTGAGAGCTTATGAGTGGAAGAGGGCACAGGAAGGGCATCTTCCGCTGGGATCTGCATGGGGGAGTGTAGATGGGTTCAGTTTTAACTCATCGAACCTTTATGACAAGATTTCTGTGTATATATTATCCTTCAGTTAAATGTTCTAAAGCATTGATCTTACATTGGCCTATCTTTGGTAAATCCTTCAGTTGAGAGATAGTGAGGGTTGATTTTTCTTCCATTTGCCTGTAGTTTGAATCAGTCACATAGTATATTTTGTTCTGATTAAGTAAACTTAAAAAAAAAAAAAACTGGGTCAGCTATGTTTTCAAATGCTCAGAAAGGAACCTGAAAGGAAGAAGCACAAAGCCCATTATTATCCCTAGGTTGACATGATGGAGTGATTGTTTTTTCTCTTTGCCTGTGTTTTCCAAAATTTCTCTTACGCATTTATTACTTTTGTAGTGTAGGAGAAAAAGAATGTTTTAAAAGAAGAAATAGGGGCCTGGAGAGATGGCTCAGCAGTTAAGAGCACTGGCTGCTCTTGCAGAGGACACAGGTTCGGTTCCTAGCACCCACCTGGAGCAGCCATCTGTAACTCCACTTCCAGGGGATCCAACGCTCTCTTCTGGCCTTGCAGGCATTACACAACATGGGAGCCCTTACATATGTGCAAGCAAAAACTCTCATATACATAAAATATAAATAAAGAAAAAAATTAAATAATCATGACTATTATGATTATAATAAGCACAAGGTCTTTTGCAATAGGACATGAAAATCTACTTTGAAAGCATGATTATAGGATAACATTTTTTCCTACAATTCTGTTTCAATACAGATATGCTAGTCTGTATTTTTGCTGTGCTATTGAGGATCAGGACAATGAACTGATCACCCTGGAGATAATTCATCGTTATGTGGAATTACTTGACAAGTATTTTGGCAGCGTAAGTAATAGTAGTATTGTTTTTTAAATCTCTAACAGGTTTACTATTAGTTGTCTTAAGGATTCTAACTGCAAGGAGAGGGCAGTAATGACTATTTCTTGTCAGTACATCTAGTCAGCTTTCAGAACCTCTGGCCCTACAGACTTATTTAATTAGAATGCTGAGAAGGAGTTTCAAAATAGTAAAGTTGAGGGGTTTGGAGAGATAGCTCAGTTGGTAAAGTGCTTGCTGCCCAAACACCCACATAAAAAGCCAGTGCCTAGCCTAATCAGTGAGACCCAGGTCCCAGTGAGAGACCCTGTCTCTAAAAACCAGGTAGATGGCTTGTGAGGAACAATACTCAAAGGAGTGACCTCCGCACACCCATACGCACACGTACACACCGTAGTAAAGAGTCCTGTTGTTGACATTAGCATTCTGGAAGTGTGTAGGATGGAATCAGATTTGGTTAGCAGCTTAATCATATTACTTAGGAAATACGTGTTTAAAGATCAGTCTTCATGAGCAGAAAATAATTGTTGACTACATTGGGACCATGCATAACCAGGCTTTTGTTTTTGAATACTTGAGATTTGAAAATTAAGCTTATTTAAATCAATG